TATATATATACACACACACACACACACACACACAGTAGTACCCCGATATACGTGGTCAATTGAACCCACAGGGTACCGCGGAAAGTGAAAACCGCGTAAAGTGAACAACAGAACATATGGGATTAATTCCAATAGAGACTGGCCCGACCCCCAAACTCCACTTTTTCCGACACAATACCTATGTTGTAGTAAAAATAACATCTAAATTTTATGATGGTATGCTCACACAAATAATATTTAAGAGAAATACAGTCGCCAGGTTAATGTCCATTCAAATAATGGACTCAAATTGCCCCCCCTCTTCCCAGCTCACTAGTTCCTGCCTCTCTGAGAAATGTTTGGGTGAAAACACTAGATTTTAACGTTTAGTAATAAATAATACCTCAGACTAAAGTTAGGATAATATAATTGACATTTCTGGATTCCTTGCAGGTCAGGGAATATTTTGAATGTGAAGTTCATATATTTTGCACAAAAGATAAAATATTTGCTTTGTGTAAACCAAATTATTACATTAGATCTAAAATTTGTATGTCTAATGCAAAATCCATGATGTTTATATTCAAAATGATCATCATATTGTAAGAATTCCAGCAATGTAAATTATATTCTGGTCGAGTAATTTTTATGAATTTTATGAGCTAAAACAAATATCTTCAGTTAACAAAAAAAAAATATTCTTCACGACACTATCTGTCAATCAAAATACCCCACCTCCGCCCTAGCTGGGTCGGTCCCTCCCTCCCTCCCTACCTCCCACCCACCACCTTCCCTCCCTACCAGAGAAGCTTTGGGAGAAGGAGGTTCCAGGACTCCGACTTCACGACGTGGGGTTGGGGACCCAAATCCAGGCTCCAGTCCGATTACGGTCGTAGTCCCATATAGATAATTTTTAATAAATAATTCAATGAAATACAGTACAGTAAAAGTAATGAATAATGAGGAATGGATACAGTACTGTGAAAGTAATAAATAATAAGGAATGGTTACAGTGTGACTGAGCACTTACCTTTAATGTAGTCAGCTGAATGCACATGGGGCCCCCATAATTTTCTAATTATACATGAAGACTACATTAACTGGAAACGTTTCGGTATAGAAAATGCGTGTGTCATTTGAAGAAGAAAAAAAAAAAAATTTTTTTAATAAAAAATCTGCAGCGGTCGTAAGTCCCGACGGTCGTAAGTCCACGTAGTCGTAAGTCGGGGTCTAGGTGTATTTACATTTTTAGTAATAAATAATAACTCAGACTAAAGTTAGGATAATATAATTGACATTTCTGGATTCCTTGCAGGTCAGGGAATATTTTGAATGTAAACTTCATATATTCTGCACAAACGAAAAAATATTTGCTTTGTGTAAACCAAATTATTACAT